ACAAAAGACTAAATAGGAAAGAGAACAATTCCGAAGTGGTTTTATAGATTTTAGATTGTTTTTAAATTTTGCAGTTTGATAGATTTTTGGCACTTTAATTCCCTTCAACTTCCGATAAAAAGAAAATATTATTTTTAATGATTTTTGCTTTGAAATCCACGAAGAAAAAAAAAAAAAAAACTTTTTTCAGTAGCAGAAAATTATTTTAGATGGCCTATTCTGTTTTTTGCTTTTATGAGATATTTCGCTTCAAGCAATTTTCCTAAGAAGAAATTTTCTTAGAAGATTAATTCTAAATTTTAATTCCTTCATCAAATTATTTAGTTTTTTAGTAATTTCCATAGCAGAAAATTATATTAGGAAGCCAATTGGGACAATATAAAGCTTTCATGAAATTATTTATCTTCTAGTAAGAATCGTAATAGAAAATAATGTCATAAAGTCAGTTAGGAATTTATATTGCTTTCATAACTTTATTCCATTTTCTAGTAATTTTCGTAGAATAAAATTTCCAATTCTGAATTCATAATACGTTCATAAAATTATTCCGTCTTCAAATAATTTTCTTCCCAGAAAACTATAATAGAAAGTCAATTTTGAATTTATTACGATAATCCTTTCATGAAATTATTTCATTTTCTAGTAATTTTTGTAACAAAAAATTATTTTAAAAAGCTAATTCTAAATTCATAATGCTTAAATAAAATTACTCCGTTTTCTAGTAACTTTTTTTTAGCAGAAAATAATCTTGGAAAGTTAATTCTGAATTCATAAAGCTTTCGTGACATAATTCCAGTTTCTGGTAACTTCGCAGCAGAAAATTATTTTAAAAGGCTAATTCAGAATTCATAAAATTATTCCGTCTTCAAGCAATTTTCTTTGCAGAAATTATCTAAGCTAATTCTGAATTTATAATTCTTTCATGAAATTATTCATTTTTTCAGCAGAAATTTTACTTAAAAGTCAAATTATATATAATAAGACGCTTGTAAAATTATAATGAAAAGCTTATACAATTATATATTGATGTATCAAATCAGTATTTTCAAGTGATGGAAGAAAAATTACAGAAGAAATGAAAGAAAGGAAGAAACTCGAGCCAGATATCGAGACTAAGTTGCCTTCACGATAGACTTAATAAAACAAAGATAAGAACGATTTGCGCTAAAGCAAAAATTATGAGCATACTAAGAAATTAAATATTAAATAAATAAAATGTCAAGTATTAAATATTAAATAAATAAAGATCAAATGCGGACCAGCGCCTAAGTCAGTGATCGAAGGCTTCAAGTCGTAGAGCTGAACGAATAATAATAAAAATAAAGATCGAATAATATCGATCGAACAAACGATCGAATAATAAAAATAAATAAAATTATTTCAAAATACATAGATAAAATTTTAAGACAATATTTATTTTAATTTCTAATTTCCACAATATTTATTTTCATTTTGATTAAAATTTCTCTTCAAATATTGAACTGAAAGATTAAATTAAAAAGTTCCTTTTTGTATAATCTATTATTGTTCCCGTTTCGGTTCTTTTTTATTACTATCAGAATAGTTATAATACATTAAACACTTGAAACAGCATTAATGGAATACAATTAACCATCAACTTGCGTGTTGAGGAATAAAATAAAAACGTCACAAGAGAAGAGAGGAAAATTTTTTACCAGAAATGCCGAAGCAGTGAAAAGAGTCAAGTTACTTGACATATCAAGGTCACGATGCGCATATCATTTGTTTCATTACTATTTTTCCCTATAAGGATATTTGACAACGATGATAAAATACTCTTTTTTTCTTCTCAGAATGAAAGAAAGTGTGTGAATGATTTAGATTCATTGGCGATTTTTTGGCTGGAATTCCAATAGACTAACTGAAATTCTGTTTCATCCACTTTTTTTCAAATATTCTACTAATTTCTAACTGAAATTTTATATCACGTAAATATATTGATTATTTTTAATTTTTCTTTTAATTAAAACTTCTGAAAAAAAAAAGACATATGTGTATTCAATAAATTTTATTCTTTATTACGGTTGAAAATATTTCGAATGTCACATGTCACGCAAACACCTTTCTCACATGTCGCTCTAATTACTCTAACTTATATTAACAGTTCAAAAACAAAACTCATGTCATACACTGTTAAAATTTTCATTCGAAAATTACGGTAAAATGATAGGCAGCAGTATATACACCCAATAAACCGTTAAGTTTACGGTCAGAAATGTTAGAAACCGTTTAAAACATACTAGTTTTAAACGATGAATAACGATGTTAACAAACCATGAATACAAAACTGCGCAATCTTTTAATTATTGTAAACTAGCATGGTTTTAAAACCGTAAAAATGAAATTTAACTGGGCATTAGAATCAGACTTTTCATTAGGTAATGGAAGTTGGAGTTACGTTGTGGTTGAGTTGTGTTTCGCCAAATGAATTATAAAATGTGGACTAATTAGTTTACTTCATTGTGCCGTCTATTGTGAGAAACAGGAAATCCTCCATGTGTTCCAAGGAATGGAAGAAATACCGGGGCGTCAACGCAACGATTCTGACCGCCCCCCCCCCCAATTTAGCCTGTCGTCATGAGATTGACAGATTAACCCCCTCACCTAAGCTGCTGAAGGGAACAGAAGGTAGGATGCAGATAAAAATCTGGTTGTTTAACCGTAATAGGTGGAAATAGTCAATAAACGACTTTTTATTACAGTTAACTGTTTGCACACCATCTTTCTTATGATAATTTGACTGTTTTGGTTAAATATGGTAAAATAACAATTAATTAATTGTCATTTAACCAATTTTTTCGTGATTTTTCTAACAGTGTAGATAATATTTTAAATTTTATTTGCAAATTTTAATTATGTATTTCATGACATTAGTGAGAATAATGATAACGTTGTATTATTATTACAGGGTGCGCAGCTAAATTATTCGACAAAAAGTAAGCACCTTTTAAGAACTTTTCAAGCACTCAAAAAATATTTTTAAGCGCTTTAAAAAAAATATCATAATTAGGCACGGTTGGAAAGTTAACTGACAGTTTTATCTTGTTTTAACCATCAGGTCAAAAAAAAAAAAAAAAAAAAAAAAAAAANACCTTTTGGCATTGTTTTTGACAATTGTCAAAAATCATGAAATTTTGAATCACGTAAAACGAATGGCATTTTCCTACTCTACGGACTGACAATACGCCGAAAGAGATTGGGGCTGAATTAACTGTGAAAACGTTGAATAGAACTATGTAAATTGAGTCTCTTTGCATTATACGTAACAAAAATCAACATGGTAAAGGGAAAATCTCAGTTTGAAAAATGGAAAATCAAGCACTTTTTAAAAACACCCAATGAAAAAAGCACCTTTAAGGGCTTTTAAAAATCGAAAATAAGCACCTTTAAGCACTTTTTAAAAAACGCTACGCACCCTGTATTATTTACATACGTACTTATTTTGATGGAAAAAAAATACATAAAAACAAATAACGTAAAAATATTAATTTGTATAATATTAATTAAGAAAATCAGTTGTTTAATCAATCCATAACTCTAGTCAAATGTTTTTGTTTAACCAAAATGTGTCTAAGCTTATTTTTTTCATAAATCCATAACTCTTTGAATTGTTTTAACTATATATAATTTCATAACGAAAGAAGGTGTATAAAAAATTCAGCAGCAAATGGCACTTAAGCAAGTGTTAAACACTTTCCCACTAATAACGACTTCTAAAAAAGTATCAAAATAATTAGCGTAAATGAATAGAACAAATGGAATTTCCACGCACCAATACGATAAACACACTCTTTCTCACAATGTAGCCAATAATTTTATACGCGACAAACCGCCTACTGTGTCATTGATAAACTTCCTAATAACTATTCTCTCGGAGGCAGATAATTTCGAACGTAATTTTTTTTATTATATAATATATAATAAACTTATCGCTCAACAGCTGATTCGGTTACAGATAACTATCCTGGGATGCAGACGACACCTTTTATTTCTATTTTAACGAGTGGCAATATCATATAATTGTGACGAAATCCATGTGCATTTTTTTTATGCTTTGTTCTTTTTTACTTCATTCAAATCTTTCTTTCTTTATTGCTCGTCTTTGTATACATCGTTATTTAGTTGTTTTATATTTTTTATGACATTCAATAATGGTTTTATGGGACGTTGTAGGGTGTCTTAATTGCTTTTAGCCTCGTAAACTGAGTTCGGAATTAAGACGGTTTCAACAAATAATTGAACAATGTTCCCCCCCCCCGTCTTAAATTTAGAAACAATCATAATCTTGAACGTTTTTATTAAAATGATTAAATTAAAATTATGTTTCGTAAAATGTGTAGCGAAAAAATGTACACAATTAAAATAAATTATTAAATTTAAAAAAAATAATGTAATCAATACTATACTAACTGAATTATAAATAAAAAGGAAACATTAGTTAAGAAACATGTTTTTTTAAATGCTTAACTTAAAAAATGTATTAAAATAAATTAGATTATTTAAGTAAAAAATGAAGCAATCAATGCAACACTAATCGAATAATAAATATAAAATAAACTTTGTTAAGTTAAGAAAAAAAATTTCTTTTTAGCATAAAAAATATATTCAATTGAAATATAACTATACTAATTGAATTATAAAAAAGTAACATAGTAACAAAATAAGCATATAATTTTTTTTAAGTTAAAACTTTTTTTAATTAAGCATTTGTTCAAGCAAATAAATTATTTAAAAATAAATTAACTTTAAAAACATTCCGGTAATGAATACCGGCCCTCAGGGGGTCAGTACTTAATACCATAATTTGATCCTTAATTCTTGACTGCGTAAGGCAATTAAAACAATAAATTGACGATTGTAAAAAAAAATAATAGGAAATTTTTTCTTGTCTTTTTAATAATTTTCTTACGATACTTAATACATTTAAAATATATTTCATAATTTATATGGGAATCGAAAAAAGAACACATATATCTTACCATTTTAAAAAAACTACACAGGTACGCTAGGGAGGCAATCTGTAGTAACCTAAAAAAAAAAGAACAAAAAATATAAATATTACTGTACGCATGGTTATAAGGAATGTATAGCACAAAATAATACACTCATCATTAAGATATCGAAATAACATCATAAATTAACGATACTTCAGGACTATGCCAAGATATTAAACTTATTTTATAAAGGTCAGTATTTCCTTTACCCACATGAAATTTATTAACGCTTATCATAATATAGTATACGATAATTATCGTAAATACGATAAATCGTAAGGATACCTTTAAAATACCGCTACTACGATAATTAAAACAAATAATGATGTCTTAGGATTTAGCACTTATCTCCCCTTTTTTTTCTTTCATGATGAGTAGACAAAGAACGAAAAAATTTGCTTACTAAGCAAAACTATTCAAATTTAAATAATCTGCGAATAATTGCAAACAATTGAACGCGAATCAATGTATTGACGATTTAGTGTAAAAGTTTGTAATCATACATCTGCAGGATGGCCCCCCGAAGACTTCCTTTTACTTACCTTTGATGAGTTTAACAATGCTTAGAAAGAAAACTTAATTAAGATTTTTATATTCAATAACTAATTTCGGAGAAGTGGGGGAGAAAGCGTTCACCTTCCAATGGAGTGCCCGGGTTTGTATCCCAGCGATTGTATTTGTATTCATGATTTTCTCTCCATGTAACGCAAAGGGGGGTTAGTTCTATCAAAAAGTCCTCCACGAAGGCAAATATCTCCTGATCTAGGAGTTCCCTTGTCTTCTGGATTGGGTTCAAAATTACAGAGTTAAACATTAGTAGTATAAAATAAAATAACTAATTTCCCACAAAATGGATCAAAACAAGCAGGCTATGGAATATCGAGCTTCACAAAAAGATTGAATTTCCGAAGAGCAACCAAACGATACGACGCAAAAATATTCCACACAGGTTTCTTATCAGTAAAATAAGATGTTGACGAACTTTCTAATTTCGCAAGACTAAGTGTTTTTCTTCATAGTATTAACGCGTGTCAGATTTCTTCCCAAACATTATGTTACATTGTATCAAAAGATATTACACCCAACAGAGAAGATAAATCGAGAAGAAAAATACCCTAAAAGTGAAAATAAAAGAGAAATTTGTCAGTAAAATGAATGGGTGGAAATCTTGGATTTAAAATGATACAGCGTTTTTTTTTTATAAGGACGGTATAATGATTTATAAATCAAGTTTATCGGCATTGAAGGATTTCGTTTCTCAATGATTTGACTAACTTTTATTGAATATATAATGGCAGTTTATCAAAGTGATTAATGTTTATTTTCACTAACTCCATTTGAAATGAAATTTTTCAACTTCAAGTCGAGCATAAAGAAATTCAACAATTAATTGTTTATTTATTTTATTTATGATCAAATTTTTTAAAATTTTATTTGTGGTGGGGGGGGGCGTGAAAGTCAATTTTGTTTTGTGTAAATAAAAAGAATAGTTGGATGGGAGGGAATACTTGCGCAGAAGTTAAAGTACCACAATTCGTTACGATATTTTAGTGAATTTTGTTATTCAATGTAACTAAAAATAATTTTATAAAATAACACCCCACTAAAAGCCCACGAAAACGGTTAACTTTGATCCTTTTTTTTTACACATAACGTGTATTGCACCCCTAAAACTTGGCAAACTTGGGGTCATTTTTTGTCTTTTTGTGGAGTTAACATTCGCTTTATTTACTTTTTAATCCAGAAATTAATTTCACGATTTGTTACAATTTTGTCCCTTTTCTTAAAAGAATAAATTAAATATGCATCCTTATAATAATAGAAAAATGTTCATTTGTTAAGAAACGCTGAAAGTAAATATACATCAGAGGGAAAATTATTTTGCACGGTTTATTATTACTACGTTATTATTATGCTTATTATTATTACCCTACTATGTTTGAATGGTCGAGACGAAAAGATTAGAAAAGGAGTGCTGTGAATACTGTATAAGTGTTTTCTCTGCTTTGATACCGTGCTTGCGGAGAAGGGAAATTACGGAGCGATGTTGTTGGGCCATCATCCGTAGCACAGAGAGGTGTTAGAAAATCTTAATTGCTATAATGATTTATTTTTATTACTTTTAATAAAATTTCCTATATTTAAAGAAGTTAATTTCTGAACAAGTTTATGATTGCAAAAGAAATTTCTATTACGTTTCTCTATTTAAACACTCGCGCAACGATTAGTTCCTTATTAGTTATTGGTAAAAAAAAAAGCTTTCTTATGTAAATTATATACTTCTAAAGCAGGTTTTATACGTGAACTTGACATTCGCTGGCGTAGAAGTAGGAGAAAATATATTAGGAAAAAAAAAATACAAGTATTAATTAAATACTGCATTATTATATTTCCTATCGCGCTTCTTAAATCAAAATAAAATAATTTAATTCTTTAATAAATATGTTTTCCTAATAACCATTTGCAACATCTATAGCCGTTGTTTTAAGTTTCAATTTTGAAATCAGCCATAATTCGGCTCATTTTATTCATACATATTTCCATCTCATGTACATGTTACCTTGAATGATTGAAATCAAAAGAATGTCGACTTTCCCCGGTGAATATCGACAATCACTCACTAATCGCATCGGTGAATGTCCGAAATATTTGTTTTTTCGATTTGATATTAATTTATTCGCTTATATTATTATATTCATTCGATATTTTAATATTTGCTGAGGATAGAATAGGAGAAACCTCTGTGTCCGGAGTACCGGACAACTTCACAACTGAACCTAAAAAACATCAGGGTAAGGTATACTGGGCAAATGTATACCGGGTATTGGCACTGAACCCTAAAAACATCAGTGCAAGGTATACTGGGCAAATGTATACCGGGTAGTGGCACTGAACCTTAAAAACCATCAGTGTAGGGTATACAGGGCAAATGCATACCGGGTAGTGGCACTGAATCTTAAAAACATCAGGGTAAGGTATACTGGACAAATATATTCCGAGAAGTGGCTCTGAACCTTAATAAACATCAGTGTAGGGTATACTGGGCAAATGTATACCGGGTAGTGGCACTGAACCTTAAAAACCATCAGTGTAGGGTATACTGGGCAAATGTATACCGGGTAGTGGCACTGAACCTTAAAAAACATCAATGTAGGGTACACTGGACAAATATATTCCGAGTAGTGGCACTGAACCTTAAGAAACATCAGTGTAGTACCCTACACTGATATTTGTCCAGTTTACCCTACTGGGCAAATATACTGGGCAAATGTATACCGGGTAGTGGCACTGAACCTTAAGAAACATCCGTGCAGGGTATACTGGGCAAATGTATACCGGGTAGTGCCACTGAACCTTAAAAAACATCAGTGTAGGGTATACTGGACAAATATATTCCGGGTAGTGGCACTGAACCTTAAGAAACATCAGTGTAGTAGGGTATACCGGGCAGAGGAACTTCACTAGACCTAGTATATATTTCGGACATTTACCAAAGCGACTATGTAATTGTCAACATTCACCAGCAGGAGTTAACAACCACCAATTTTACAGTAACATATATATACCTAAAATAAATTCATAACTAGACTATAGCACAAAGACTGCAAATTAAACTAGCAGACATAAAACCTAATTTAAGAATTAATTTAATTAATAAAACCTAATTTTAAAAAAATAATGAAAAATCTTCATTTTTCTCATCAAATATTTTTAGCCTCTATGGGTTGTAATGTTCACAATTGCCTTAATAAACTTTATTTCTTAAGTCTGGGGTTCCGCCGGAAGAAGGTCGATTATTTAGGGTTCCGTAGACGGAAGAAAAAATTACAAACCGCTGATCTAAAGATTCTTTTAATAATAATGAAGTATTTTTAATAGCCTCTCAGTTTTTATCATCTTATTTTATCAATAAAGGCTTGAAAAGGACTTGTGAAATAAGAGACAACCTCTCAGGAATGATTTATAACTCTCGGGGTCTTTTATCATTGGTTCCAACTTTTTAATAGGCAAGTTCAGCAGTCCTTTAATTGACTGCAATCTACCGCCTGATGATTTAGAACAAGCTCAATTATTTCCTACAGGTAGTTATCTTCCTTTTTCTCCTACCTGTACTACTTCTCTGCTGCCGCCAACCCCCGACTCAGATAGAAAGATGAAGGAAGGAATTTTTTTTTAAGAGCATTTTCGCCACTCATCTTTTGAGGTAGAAAGATGTCAAGCGATAAGGAAGAGATGTCAATGAACATTGTGTTAAAGGTTGTTTACGTAAAGTTAACTGACTGAGGAAATAAAGTTTGCCAGAGAACATTGCAAAGCGAATGATATCGAAACTTAAGATTTATAAGAGCTCATTCGGCCACTTCATTATGCGGGACGAATGGGAAAAACCTGTCAAACTTTGACGCGTGATGTCACCTTAGAGAAATAAGATAGCTAAGGTATGTTGCTTAGTTTCGTTCTAATCAACAAGTGACGTTTTATTTTTGGAAGGACGAACCAACGAGAACAAGAAGATCATGAAAGGACCCCCAAGAACACAAAGTAAACTAATAAAAAGTCCTCCTCCTAAAAAAAGAGGGAATCAACTGGAACAATTAAAAAATAAAACACTTTTAAAGAACTAGCAAATATATACAAAAATATGCAAGCAAATTATGAAATAACCCTTATTAAAACGCACACAAAAAACGTAAGAAAATAATGCAGAANAAAAAAAAAAAAAAAAAAAAAAAAAAAAAAAAAAAAAAAAAAAAAAAAAAAAAACGAAGGAAAACCATGCAGAAACCAGATAAAAACAAGCAAAGAAAACCACGCAGAAAAAATACAAGAACACACCAAAAAGCACAAGAAAACCGTAAAAAAGACTCAACGAGAACACACAAAAACGCAAGAAAATCACGAAAAAAATTAACGATAACACACAAAAAACGCAAGAAAACCGTAAAAGAAACCGGGGGGGGGGGAAAGCAAGAAAACCATGAAGGAACTCAACAAGAACCTATATATTAAAGGGAAAAGAAGCATGAAAAAATC